ATCTGGGTTCCTGGCCATTGGAACATAGAAGGCATAGAGAGCAGACGAACTGGTCAAGGCGGGAGCTTGTTTGGATGAATCTGCAGCGGTGATACTGGGCTACCCCTCAGACAAATACAAACAGAGATCTTTCGGAAAACACATAATGAAGCAGTTAGGAGATTTATCTAGTGCTACAATAGGCGACATACAAAAATTCAAAAGCGGTTCTAAATGGTTTGACTGAACTGCTGGAATGCTCCAACAGGTAGCCTACAGAATAATAAAATGTCATTGTCCACGAGAAGTGCACCAAAATGGCGCTTTTATGCGCTAATTGATTCCTGAGCGACCACTTGGGGTAGCAACTACAACCAACCAACTAATACTGGGGATCGAAGTCGGACACGAAGAGTAGGTTTTATTGAGTTAAGGCCGCACACCGATGAGAATAAAGCTTCCTTGCATTTAAATGTTAGTGAGAATATACTCAAAAGAGTCGACTGTAAAACATACATACACACGCGGCGTAGCAGTATCAAAGCGAAGCAAATTTTAATGCTTCCATTTTATTGCATAATTTCACTGTTTATCTGCACATGTATTTATTACACGTACATTTAGCACATACAACAAGGACTATATTTATTGCGGCTTTTAGCAACAAGAGCTCATAATAATAGTACACGCAAATGCGCCTAAAAGTATGTTTCGTTCGATGAAAATTTCCATTACCAATTAATAATTACCACAGAATGAATGCTGACACAAATATGCAATCACATGTATGTACAGCTGCGGACAAAATAGTAGCAACAAAATTCCAGTTGATATTGTTTGCAACTCAAGTTTATTTACTTATCTATTTTAAAAAATTTTCATTTAAAATATACATATCGCTCATTTACTTCAATACATAGTGTGATAATCCGAAAAATACAAAAAATATTGAGCTACCAGTATCTCACTAGAACTTGGCAGGAGGAAACTCGAACTTCGAAAAAGCTGTTTGACACTTTGTTGAGAGCTCAACTCCGCCATTTAATATAAAAAATCATCAGGAAATTTTTATTCATGATAGGAGAAAAGAGAGAAAATTCCCAGGGAGTTTCTCCCCAGAATCGGCCTGATAACGATGTAAAAAAATAAAAATAAATTGCAAGAAATGACATTTTAAATTTTGTACCTATTGTTATGCTGCTGAGTGTATATCAATGAAAATATTGGAATGTCCTTGTATTTAATTATTTAAATAGCCCTAGAGTTAGTACATTCAATATTTCAATGAACACTAGTATGCAATTAATGCAAATGCGAATGTGTAATGTTAAATTTTTTAGTTTACGCTTCCACTGTAATTCACTCATATGTAATGTACATACATTCAAAGTACATGCACATATTTATTCGGAAATTTAGAAATTTCAACCACAATTGCATTTATAAAAATTAGATAAATTAGGGCACATATTTCAAATATTCTAAATTTAACTAATGAAAGAGCTTAAAAGTACGCGCAGTTTATTAAATAAACTATATACATACTTATATAATACGCGAATGGATTTTTGTTCAGGATAAAAGATCTGCACCGTTTGCTCGATTTTCAAAAATGGGGTATCAAATTCAAGCGCTTGGACTGTAGATGTGCAAACTGGTTTTACTTTTTCCAGCAGAGTTGCCACCTGTAGAACAATTGAATTCAAATTATTTAATAAGCATAATAACTGCACCGTTCGTTTGATTTTCCTAAATGAGGTGTCAAATTAAAAGACTTGGACTGCTAATATGCAAAAAGGGTTTACTTTTTCTGAAAAAAATTGCTACCTTTTAAAAAATTATATTCAAATTATTTAAAAGAAAATGAAATATTAAAAAATGGGTATCAATGGAAATGGTTTTGAAAATCTTTCGTCCTTAAATTGACTTTGGGAGGGTCGCTGCCTGTTTAAAAAATCAAATTAAATTTAAATGAAGGAAATTAATTAGAATAAAATGTTTCAATATATGGGTCCCAAACGAAATAGGCTTAGAGGGTAGCAGTTTGAAATATTTTGAAGTGGGTTGCCACCTGCTTGAAATGTCGAATTTAGTTAACTTATCCAAAAGTTATATGAAATGTCAAAACTTCAATGTCAAACAAAATAGTGTTAAGAAGTGTTTAGTTTAAACATTAAAAATATTTTAGAGATGTTGGAAGAGGGTTGCCACCTGTCTAAAAAATTATTTCAAATTTTTAGATAAGTTAAATGAATTATTAAAATATGGGTTTGAAAAATCTTTTTTTCTGAACTATATTAAGCGGGGTTGCCCTATGTTTAAAATATAAAATTCAACTTAATTTACCAGTTAATTAAACTATGTATCGAAATGTTAGAGGAAGAATATTTAAGAATATCTAAGCACGAAACTGCTTTTGAAGAGGGGTGCCGCTTGCTTAAAAAATCGGATTTAATTAACTTTTACGCAAGTTATTTTAAATATGAAGCGAAAGGGTGTTAAAAAAACTAGAGTTTGAACATTTGGAATATTTGAAGAGGATTGCCACGTGTTTATAATGGGGTTGAAAAGGCTTTATTTCTGAAATGTATTTAAGAGGGTTGCCACGTATTTTATATGCCGCATTCAAATTATTTAATAAGCTGAGTGAATTTTTAAAGGATGGATATGAATCGAAATGAGTTTGAAAAGGCTTTCAGTTCGGTTTTGCAATTCATTTACGAGTGAATTTAAACATTCCCTTCGAACTTGAACTTTATAGAAGTTTATTCAAAAATAAATTGTATAACCTGAAAAACAAAGACCTTGCCCTGTAGCTGTGCGATAAGGTTGATTTTTTTTTTTAATTATAAACCTTTTATCGGTACAGAGTGATTTGAAATTTGATAATATTAAAAACCTACCATGCGAAATGGCTGCACGGATTTAGAAGAAATATGACATTTGGAATAGTTTGTAGGCTTTTGAAATTCTATCTTTGGCGTTTTAATGCCGTGCGGGTTCACTAGTCATTATATAACCGCCTAAGTCGAAAAACCTGAATTCGAGCAAAAACCTTTTAAAAATTTCGATTGTAATGTTAACTTTATGGGGAAATAAAAATATTTTCGTCTATAACTTTTTAAATAGCTTAGCTGGCGAGATGGGGATTTCATGTATGTACCTATAACTCAATTCTTCCTTAAGTTGACTTAGGCGGTTATTGTTGATGACCATAGGTATATGTATGTAACTTTGTGGCTTAGCCATTCACATGAATTTCGGTTAAACGCAATAGTGAATTCTCACTCAAGTAACCTCATACTATACTTGCAATGTATTTAATGAAGTATGTACATTTGCACTGAATAGTACTAAATAAAAAGTAAGTTAGTTAGATTAAAAAAGTACTTATTAGAGTAAAAACTAGTTCCGATCGCTTTTTAACTCAATAGGGCCACAATTTTTGATGGGCTCTAAAGGCACAAAATGGGCAGATGGCTCGGTTACAATTAATTTTTTTTTTATGAAAAGTGAATCCGACTTAATCGCGCACATATGTGTGAACATTTATTGGCTCAATAACGTACGCAATAAAAAATGTCCACAGGTTTTTCCTATCAAGGAAATGTCTCAATATTGATTCAGTTGGAGCAGAGGAAATCGGAAATTTGTTTATAACATTGATCTATTAATAATCACTTTATAAGTTAGGGCCGATTATAATAATCAATGCACTTAATACATATAAATCTTTGTTTTCAATGCTAGGTTAATAAATAATTTGCATATTTAAGTATGTAGGTATGTATGCATACATTAGCGTGAGATAATAGCATATAATTAACGGCATATGAGGGGCTCAAAGCCGTTATACATAAGTACTCACTTGAGTAATCTGAGATTTTTCATTAAAGTGTATCAGCATAGATTTTTAGTACACACAAACATACATATGTACATATGAAAAATATATATGAAAGTACGCGCTTCTAATTAAATGACAATAAACAACCACTCAGTGCAGGAAAAGTGCTATGAAAATCATTTGAAATGTTTATTCACACGATCACATCAGTTTAGCGGTACACGCGCCTTGAGACAGTTCTAAGTCGAATGAAAACGGATGACAGTTTTTAAAAGTTCTCAGTGGACAGGATACTATTACGAATAGTGGAAACGAATTCAAATTTTTGTTTGCTTAGAAAACTTTCTTAAACATGATAGTAATAATTTTGTTAACGGCTCTATTTGCCGGCGCGTATATTTACTGGACATATGTACAATACAAAACCGGTTGGCATCTGCTTAAAAAAGTACCAGGACCCTTTACATTTTGGGTATTCGGGAATGTGCCGCAAATCGGATTAACAGCTGAAGGTATGCTTGTGTGCGAGAAGGGGGAGGGCTAATGAAATCTTTACTCATAGTCGCCACAGTTACTTTGCTAAAAAAAATAAACATTTGCGAAAAACATTCAAGCTTATGTATCTTTTGTACATATGTACAGTGACTCAAACTAGTAAACACATATTGATTTTTTTAGATATTAACATTTTTTTCAAGTAGATTTTGTTTGTTATCATTTATAAAAATATTGTCCACGCATTAACAAAAACCGCATAAATAGAAGTTTCAGATTTTATACAAAATTTAAGAAAATTCAACAAATTTTCAAACTTTTTAATCTCAATTTTGGACCTTTTTGGCTACATATTCAATTTTATAGCCCATACAATTTTAGTCTAACGGCTTTTCGCACTTTTCTCCATATAAGCATGCATTTTTATCGAACCAGCAATCAACGCCAGTTTTTATAAATTGCTTTTGTTATATAAAAAAAAAAAAATCAAAAACTGTCACTAAAAAGAATTATAAAACAGATATAAAAATCATCGCGATTTTTAAGCCGCCTAAAACTTCATACCCAACAAGTAATTTTCAAGCCAAAAACAAAGCCGACTTCAATACTCATATACAAATTTAAGATTATCGTTTTTAATATTTACATGATCCGATGATCGAATGTAAACCAAATTAGCATGGGACCATCTGTGAGGTAACAGTTTTCATTTAAAAAAGAATTATTGAAACCAGTTAACGTGGTCCTAAGCTATACGGTAACGAAAAAAAAATTTAAAAAAAGAACCAAATAAAAAAATGAAAATGTTCCGACGAATTGATAACCTTTTCCTTTTTGTGAAGTCGGTTTAAAATACTCTAAAGATTGAAAGAAAAAAGTTTGAAATTTTGATGAACATTTTTTGCATTTTTCTAATTCTTGTATTAAGTTTGAAACATTGATTTTTGTGGTTTTGGTCGAAGCTTGAAAAATATTTTTATAAAATATAACAAAAAAATTTTACTTGAAAACCATTAATACCCTGCAGGGAGTGACGTTAGCTTATACCTAACTTTAGTCTGTTTACGCGAACACTAGTGCTAACTATTAACTGTGTATTTTGTTCGAAAAAAGCTAACTACTTTTGTGGGGCGATGGCCGCAAAAAAGTCAGACCTGGATACCTCTGCATTACATGTCAACTAACTTGTAACTAACTACTTTTGGACATAAAATATCAATAAGAAAAACAAAATATTTTTTTGTTTTTTTACTTTGTTATTTACTTATTTATTTACTTTATTTTATTACATTTCATATTTGTTTACATATTCTGCTCTGGGTGGCACCATATTCGAACACCGTCAGACATAACTTCAAAATGATAGTATAAAATTTCGATCTTCCTTTTATTTGTCCTGAATATGAAAAAGAATCTGCGAAGTTCAGAAAAAAAGTGTATTGAAAGTAATTTTTGTATGAGGATATTTAATAGAAACTTGTAAAGAAAACCAACTCCCGATTGCGTCTGCATGACTCCTGCACGACTTTACAATTCACTTTAAGTTGGTTTTGTCATAGCTAATTAAAAGTGAGGTATTAATCGAAATCTCGCCAAAAAGCTAACTATAAGTTGGTTAGTTTTAACAATTGATAATTTTTCACTGCAGGGTAATAAAAATAGATTGCCGCTTACACTCATAGTAGTGTTTGGCCGAGCTTCTCCTCCGATTTGTGGCGTACGCCTTGATGTTATCACACAAAGAGGATGGCGATGTTGGGTTGAGCCGAGCTTGAACCCAGCCCCTGCGGAGTGGTAGCGCGCACTGCTATACTGCTGCTACTATACCACAGCGGCCGCAAATTTGGAATTAAAAAAAAAAAAACAACACGCGGTCACTTGTTCGAGTTTCTGCATTTTTTTATTATTGTTTTAGCCAAAAATTCAGCAAGATTTAATTATTTAGCAGCAAAAAATTCGCTGGTTTTTATTGCAAATTCAAATAACGGATTAATAATAAAACACGAAAATTTCTTCTTTCTTTGCCACACTTGTCACTAAATAAGTGCCATTCGCATCAATGTTATCAACACTTAAGTGCAAACAATCTGTACACAGCATGCTACTGAAATACCAAATTATAGATCTAAATAATTACAAAAAAAAAATGGCAAAAAATCAGAAAGGGAAATAATCATTTCTTTACGAAATATTTAAGATTTCTCTACTATTCAGATTACTCTGGAAGTATGGTTTACAAATGTTCAATGTAAAGGAAAAGAAATAAAAAAAATATCCACATGAAAAGTGCTTATTCTAAAATTTTGTCAGGCTACTGTATTTATGTGCAAGTTTTTGAAAAACCTGTTTATTTGGTTTAATTAATTTATACAAATTTTAATATAGCGACTTTCACATGCAGTTGTGCTCCCGTTAATTCCTTTTTTTTTTTATGTTTAACTTTTTGCTTACTACTAGCAGTGTGGCATATGTATGCAACTTGTTAAAATTTGGCTGCAGAGCCGCTGATATGTCGATATTTCGTTAATAAGACAATGATTGTTCTCAACTTTTTGTGCTAATTGTTGCTAAGCAGCGGTTTCGGCTGCTAATTGGATGACTCCAAATTCGACAGCGGACGCGCACGCTCTGGTTCTATGGCCATAGATTCATATGTATACATTAATAATTTTTTTAGAATGCCAAAAGCGGGATTTTATTAAAATTAGTTTAAACTTATAATACAAGTTAATTTATTTTTTTATTTTCATTTCGATTGCTGATAGCAAAATGAATGTGCAGTAGCTTTGAAAACATGCACATAATTTCGAAAAATAATTGATGGTTCTGTGCATCTGGATACGAGCATATTGATTTGTGCATACATATGTATATTTTTTATATGCTCATGCAGATTAGCTTGGGTTGTTAAAAAATTATTCAAAAATTTTTTAGGTCAAGGCCGGACCCTAGAAATAACTTTGCATTCTTATTTGCAGCTTAATTTGTGTGATATTTCGTCAAAAAGTCATTTTGGAATACTTATTTTGAAAACCATATTGATCTAATTAAGTTCATTTTTTCGACCAGAAAAGTGATTTTTTTTTAATTTATTCCCAATTAAATTAAATTAATGCTAGAGTAAACCTAAAAATTTCAGTAATTCTAAAAAAATAGTCTTAAAAAAGTGCAATTCTTCCACAATACCCTTTCAAAGATTCGCGGCAAGGTTCCTGGCTCTTCCTCATTTCTGCAGCTTCCGCAGAATGTATTATGGGGAACGCCAAACCTCTCCGCGCGCCTTCCGATGGCAACATGACCTGTCAGCAAACCCACGGCTGCGGCTAGGTCCCCTCTGCTCAGCATGACGAAATCCTTCGACAGCTTTTCGTACTGCTGCAAGTGGTGAGACAAAGTAACAAGTGGGTTGTCAATTGCTAGTTCGTCTGTCTGGTATGTACCGGTGCCACGGCACCCATACCAAGTGATTAACATACTGCTCAGTCATCTCTTTTAGAGACAGTCCTCTGCGGTTTTCGAACTGCATGTGACCGAGTGAAGCGCTTTGAGTGCGGCATGACTGTCTGAGTAGATGAAGATATCGTCACTTATGGCTTCTCTTGTACGTAGGAGTTCAACCGCCTCATTTAAATAGAGCCTTCAGCGTGAATTCTTTTACTGGTATGCAAATCCTAAAATCCTCTCTAAGTAAGCTATCATTTTATTCTTTCCTACGCGGACTGACCCAGTATATTGTGCATATCGTTGGCTTAGTGTGCAAAGGTGCTAAGTCCGTTTTTTGTTTTAATTTATCAGAAGGTGAAAAAACCGTTTAACTTTTTTTGTTGTTAATATTTTCCTAATCTGTAAATGCAGATTTCTTCCTTAGTCCGTCTTGTTTCAATACCAATAATCGGCCAAATTCAAAATAAAGATGATGCAGACTTATAGGCTCTTTTGGGACTTACCACATTTTCTTTTTATGCGAATATTAAAAAAAAGAGCCATACGCTCAATTTTGGGAGTAACAGTAGGTCCTTTTAAGGTCATAAATTCGTTAGATTAGTTATTTTCATTAGTTATTTTGTATCGCCCTAATGTACATGCATACATACATACAAAAATTTTCTTTTACATCACTGCAGAATCATATCCTAGCTCCCTTATTTTTTAATCGCGTGCTGACTCAGCGCAAAATGCCGTTAATATCGCAGCTGTCATTTAGCAATAAATTAAAATGACAGCTACATATACACAAATACCTGAAATGAATTGGCCAGCTTAGAGTGCAAAGTTGCTAAGTCCATTTTTCTTTAATTATACAAGAGAGTAAAAAAACGTCTATAGCAATATCCTTCAAGTATTTCATATATCTTTGAATACAACATTTGCGTGTTTAAAGCAAAGCAAAACTCAATGCGAATAACAGGCTAACTTAATATTAGTTGCGTTCGCTTAGCTGTTCATTGTTCATGTTTAACCAAAACTTTTAGGTTTTTGCGTTCGCGTACGCAAAAAACTTGCAAAGTAGGGGAAATTGAGAGAGCAAAGTGACATTTCATTTGGAGGGGAAGCTGCTGGAAAAATG